TTGCATATACAGTGTGTGTGTCTCTGCGTCAACAAAATCAGTGTTGTCAAGCTCAGGCTTATAACCAGAAGGTAAGGCAGCAGACACGTTTCTTTTCAAATTCAAGTTGTATTTTTGATGTGAGATTTGAGACTTAACGACACGTAATGCTTCAAGCAAATAGTTAGTCGAACCAATCGACCAGCATTTTTGAGAATCACTTGGGTCAACAAAACGTTTTGAAATTGTTGCACCAAGGAATGTTGTAGGCTCTGCAATGGAATCAGGCTTGAGCATGTAATGCGTTCCAAGCTTCTCCAGTATAGCACGAGGATTCTCAGAAACAGCCATAAGGTCATCGGTGTAAACGAAAATATATTCATAATATTTTTCGCCGTTTGACTTCAAGGCGGGTTTTCTCCAAACATCCATATCACCACTACACTGTTCGAACTCCATTTCTTCTCTCAGAGTCTTAGAAAGCGTAGATCCCCATGAGAACCCGGAAGATTTTAATCCATAGAGTGCTTTCTCCCTCAAGGTCTCCAAACTCGGGTCCAAGTATGGTGTAAATCTTCTCAGCACAAGGCGCGTTCAAATACGCTCCAGCAATGTCAGCAGACAAAATATCCAAACCATTTAACAAAGCAAGCAAGAATCCAATAGGAATACTCTCACGAGTGACAACACTGGCATACGTTACCGAAAGAGGAGGATCAGTTTGGTCCCCTCAAGCACATATCCGGGCCTTTCGTGTGAGGTCCATCTTGACATCAAAGACAGTCATCAAGTCAATACAAGTATATCCAGGGGGAACAGGTTCATTTGGTCCCAAGATTCTTAAAGCAGGCAACACAGTTTTAACTTCCTTTTCAATAGCATTTCCCCATTGATTGCTACCAGTGTTGGCATCAATCTCGTAGGCACGTCTCACGTCTTTTGGACCAGTACCAGGCAATTCTAAACCAAATTTCTCAGTCTTGCGAGTTAAGGCTCTTCTTTTCACAGCCTTTAGAATTCTATCACGCTTCTTCAAAGTATAAGGAACCCACCAAGAGAAAGCAGGCTCAGACACAAGTTTGTTAGCAACAGCATATTCGGCCACCTGAATTGGATAGGCCTCCTTAGCAGTTTTCAAATCAATCCATTCTGTCTCATCACCAAGAATTTGAGCACACAGATACCACCCTTTTGTAGTTCTTCTAGGAACTTTCTTATTCTTTACCATGACAAAACCATCATCAGCATGGACTCGTGTGCCATCTGTCCGGTGGTCAATAAATTGTTTTACATGGAGAATACTATTACCGTCGTCGTCAACATTCATCATCATTGCTTCAATAACTTCGTTTGCACGATAGGATTCAGTTTCACCGTCATGCCATTCAATTTCATAAATAGAAGTGTCCAAGACAGGCTTCTCATGATACGAACCAACCATCGAGCCATCTGCTCTTCTTTTTCTTCCACGAACAACTCCAAATTTGTCAATACCATTTTCATTCTTCCGGATCTTAACACCAACATATTTGTCAAATTCCACCTGATCATCTTCTTCAGATGGGGCTTCCTCAAAAAGCTCTTCATGCTGCAACATTTCATCATCTTCATATCGTTCAAAGTGCGGAGTGTTAGCATTGGTGTGCAGAGGTCTGATATACTTTTCATCAGCTTTGTAAGCACCCGAAGGATCCTGTAAATCATCAATCTTGATGGGGTCAGAGTTTTTCAAACAGTTATGCAAGTCTTCGGTAAAACGCTTTTTCAGATCTTTGATATCTGTACTATCCCGCTCTTCTCTGGAGAGAGGAATCACACTTGAACGCTGTAAAACTTTTCCACAAGAAGTGGCACATGCAAAACACAGAGATCCGCCAATTTTAAAACTGGGTCCAAGCCAACGACACAATTGCTTATTCTCTTGACTGGAGTGTGTCGGGGACAAAGCCCAACACCAATCATAGATGCCAAAATCAGCAAGATGCGAGATATCTTTCGTATTACCGGAGATCCAACCGGCACCACAGTCATCACCTTGTCGAGAGTGGCCAAGAACCATGTGACTTCTTAATTCCAAACAATAGATAAAGACTCGATCCCAAAACGCTTTTGGGATCCCTCTTCTTGTCATAAATCGAACATACATTTTTGTTGCTTCACAAATACAATCTTCAGCAAGGTTCTGATCAGGATTGTAAGGCTCGCTAGGATGTATTGGAACCTGGGCCTTGTTTGCAACTCTTCGAAATTCTCCAGCAGTCAACGATTGAGCATCATCAGGTCGGAGAACTCTTGGAAAGCCAATATCACGAAATAGTTCCTTGAGCGAGTTGCTCACTTCAGACTCTTTCTTCAAAGCGTAACCACGGGCCCATTGACAGGCAGCAGCATAGACAGCAATATACTTATTTCCTTCAGCAGAAACACAGGGGCCTTGTTTGACATCGGCCCAAATATCAGCACGCAACCTAGGATATTCAAGTTGGAATTGAGTGGGGCGAAATCGTCTTGAGCCTTCGACTTTAGTCCAGTCCCGCAAAGCACGCTGGGTTGTTTTCTTGAGAGTGCGACGGGCACATTCAAGGCTGATTCGCCATCTTCGCGCAAGTTGTTCAGGTTTGACCAAATAGCTCTTGCCATCGGTTTTAACACCATTGATGGTCGCCTCAACTCTGTCCCCTAAAGCGATAGGAAGAGTAAGTGGGCAAATAGAGCGGTAGTTGGGATCAGAGCGTTCAACAGAATAGATTCGTTGAGTGGCGATGTCCCCTTGGTATTCACGTCGTAAATTTTGTTCGATGCGAGAGGATTCCGGGTCATAAGGTTCCCAAGGGACGGAACTGGTCATTTCCACCGAGACATATTCATCAAGTTCAGACAGTGCAGGTTTGCGACAAGCAAAGAAGCTGATAGGCTTCAGGAAGTCCATTGGGATATGTAATCCTGAGTTTTCATCAACAATGGAATGCGAGTATTGATTGCGATCTTCACGTTTCAGACGTTGGAGGGGTACATCGTTCACAATTATACCAAAATCTCGAAGTTGATCAACACAAAGGAGATTACTCTTCATGGTTGGGATGTACAATGCTTGATCAAAGATCAAGATATACGTGTCAAGGGACAGAGGGCAATCATAAGCAACTGCAACTTTCGCAACTTTAACGTTAGGCACACTGCCGAGCGAAGGATCAAAGCCTTTTACTGTCAAGGTATGGGGATAGGTTGCAAGAACCAAACAATTTTCGCCAAAAGCACAAGTATCTGCATGTGAGTCAAGCTCACATTGGGGCAAGGAGTGGGAAAGGGACATTAAAACACAAACACGAGAGGAAAGGGAACAAGTAACACAAATCTGATAGTCGGCCTCATGTCAGCGACGGCCACGTCGAACTCCACTACCAACGTTGCCAGAGGAGGGTGCTGGAGCTGGTGTTGGTGCAGGTTCGTCACTTTGTTGTCGGTCACGATTTTGTTCGCGCAAAGTGTTCAATTCTGCAATGTCACGTTCACTCATGAGACGACTGTTAGCACGTTCACGGGCTTGGAGGACAACACGGCGATCACGATCAGAGAAACGGCTCCAAGTGTCTTGGGAGTATCCACCGTTGTTGAGGATGGTCGTGCCATCATCGGACCATACAGTACCATCGTGGTCTTGACTACCACCTCGTCCGCGACCTCCGCCACGTCCATGTTGATTACGATTACGATTACGACCACCACGATCACGACCACCATTATCATGATCACGACCACGGCCACGTCCGCGATTGGAGTTTCGTCCTCCACCGTCGACCGCAGCTAAGGCTCTTGTACCGCTAATCGCAGTTAAGCGATGAGTTTGCTGGGCCGTATCTTCAGTCTGCAAAGTGTTGATAGCCGTGCGCAGGTTTTGCATACATGCTTGACTTCCTCGGACAAGTGTCTTACAGGCGTCCAATCCTGCACCCTGCGGGCCTTCTTTGATCATGCTCAAGAACTTGGTCACCTTGGCATGTTCCGACATGCCATCTCCACAATTTTTCAAATCTTCAAAGGCACCAAGAACCCGTGCCGCAAATTTCTCAAAACTAAAATTCTTCTTTCCATTGTAGTGGGTCGTATTCAAGATGCGGTAGGCAGAGTCGCGCCTCTTATTGAGTTGGCCCTCACCCTGATAGTGGGCAACCAGATCAAGATACGCCTGCCTTCCATTTTCTGTAGTCTTGTATCCTTTGATAACAGGCCAAGCATCAGTTCCATGGCAGACCGAATATAACATATTCCACACAGCTTTGTTATTTGCGACAAACTGGTCCTCTTGATGCAAGCTCCGACGAATCGCCTCATCTTCCACAGATGGCATAAGGAAACCAGGATCAGCTGTTGGATTGTCGTCCGGATTTTGATACTCACGGATCACATATGTTAATAAAGTGCCACCTTTTCCGCGATTGCGCTTCAACCACTGTTCCAAGCTCTCCATCAGTTCGACCGTATTTTTATTATCAAATTTGGGAGGCATAACCTCTGAAATATCTTCAAATTTGTTCGACTTGTTCTTCAAGTGGGAATAATAGCGATTGATTTTTGCCAAATTCGCTTGCGTCCCAAAAGCTGGATCATGTTGGCGATCCACCATATAAATAAATCGGCAATAATCGCAAAGGTCGTAGAGCATGATTTTCTGGGCTTGGTTGATGGAAAATGTGGTGTCAGGATCGTTTCCTGGATCAATCACAGTGCGATTGATTTGCTTCACCAAGGAATCAATATTTTCGCGCGTCGAGCGGGCAAAGAAAGCAGGGGAGCTGAAGCCCTGTTCAATAACAATCTCTTGTGCCTCATCCTGAGAGAAATCGAGAACATCTCGAATGTAGTTTCTCCATGCAATTCTTGTAGCGGCCATCGTTCAATGTCTTTCGTGTTGTTGTAAAAATAACACGGCACAAATTTCAATATTTCGTTTCGCCAGTTGTTTTCAGTTTCTGATCGGAGTCGTATAATGCAATTTTGCACGACTACGTCAGTGTGAGATCTTAACTAAAAAAATCGCACGACAAATAATTATATACGGAGTATCGAGCGAGATATCCTGGGTACGTCTACCTGTGTGGCAAATTACTTGCAACCAAACGGTTTAAACGGTAACAAGTGGCCGTCTTCAGTCAACGCTCAAGACTGAAATGTAGCGACGTGAAAACCACGGATCCTTTCGCAATGGGCGATCCAACCTTTGCCGGTCAACCACAAACTTTGGAGACCAGATATTATTTCAAAAAGCCTTCTCAAGCTTTAGCTCGCAACAAAGAGCTTTCTGGGTCTGATAAACCGTTAAAATGCGCTGCTAGTCAGCCAAAACAGATCAATCACTGGACGAAATATAGACAAGGAAAACTTGTGACTACCAGATCCTTTCTGACTACAAAACTACACGTACGGAGGACAGACCACGTAC